GTCCTCAGACTTAAATTTGAATACTTACTCTAGCTCAAAGCTCTAGCCCTAAACCTCGCCCTGTGGTGACATCTCAGGCCACCTCAATAAGTACCTACTCCTTCACGAGTGGCCACCTATCCAAAGGAATACGAGTAAACTTCCAGGCCTGACTGTGGAAGGGCAAATTTATGTGTCCAAACAGCGCCATTCTTGCATATGCTGATTCTGAGCATCGTGAATACCTTAGCGGAGCTTTTTATGCGATTCCTATGGTCCCATCGAGCTACCCTATGCTATTGGGCCAGCGTTTGTTAGCTGTAGCGGAAGCGGCCCCTATTGGGTTACGAAGCCCGATCTTGTACGTTCCGTGGAACCTCGTTCAGGCTTCGCACTTACCGTAGCCAAATTTAAACTACCTGCGTGGAACACTGCGCCCTTCCACTCTCTCCACGTCCGTGGCCCTGACTCTCATTACCCCCTCCCCCACAGGCCTATACCCTGTTTGTGTTCTGAGACGAATTTCTATTGGTTCCTCCTATCACTAACATGCTATATTTAATCCCGCTGTCATATAGATGTACTGGCCTGACGAAAATTTATCGAAAGCAAACGTTTACTCGCCAAGTAGTTTTATAGCAGAAATCCTAAATCCTGGTCCATAACCCTAGCCCCAAGCCTTTCCCCAAATTTGGGATTGTGTACGCGATTCTTACATTAGAGACCCTAGCATTACATGCATACGCCCATGAAATAAACAAACATGTTATAGGAATAAGGTCTGAGTGGGGCGCGCGTACGCGATCCTTACGCTTCCGCCATTGAAAAATTGCTCATTGTCTAAGCTGAGCGGTCCTAGCACGGGCGCAGTGGGTGTGCCTGTCTCCGCTTACATGAACTATAATCAATTACCTTAAGTAGCAAAAGACGCACGTCATTTCTTTCTCTAAATGGCAGCATTTTTCTTGGGGATAATAGGTATTGGACCTTTGATTTTAATGTGTCACTGACGTATTTGCCCACTTTCATAAGTCCAGCTGCTGTTTGCCTAAAATTTCTACTATTTTGTCTTATTTTAACTGCTTTCGGCAGGAGTGTTCGGACGGCGCAACTGTTAGTGTAAACACAGTCCCATCAAAAAGTGGTTTATTATAACATTAGCCAGTGAAGTGGTTTCAAATTGGTATTCTACACTTTTAAGATTACCTCACGCGCCCCTATCCTTGGCGTTTTGACTAGTTTAAATGCTTTTTTTCGTACAGGTTGAAGTGTTTCTTGCCACCGACCAACCAGGCTAGGATAACTCAGTACTTGTCACTCATTAGTCTACTTATCCCTAACTACAATAATTCTCATCTGTTGAAGCACAACTCAGTCATTTTAAGTGAGGCGGGCGTGCTTACTGTGTGTCTTAGCAGCCCACAGACGAGGCTATATCGAAAGGGCTTGAGAGCTGATTTAAATACCTACATTGCAGTTCGCGAACTATTAAAAAAATAACCGATACGAAAAGGAGTGTAGGAGCTATGCAACTTTGGTGAGAGGGAAAGAGTTGATTACTGGCAATTTTAGTGGATATCACTGTTGACGAATTAATACAAGGAAAGACGAACAAATTGTTGGTACAATAGCACAGGACTGGAGGAAGTATAATGGTCTGGGGAATTTTAGTTTAGCAAAAGAAATTGCGATTGATATTTTTACGGAGAAGACACACAATTCAGGCATTATTCAGACGGTTTCCGTATGGGATCTACCCTTTGTAAGACAATGTGGTGAGGCACACGTCGTATTTGAACAAGACAGCTGTAATATATCTGCGGTCCAGACGACCAAATGGGAAACAGGTATCGTCGAAACTTAAACAGGAGTGTCCATAAATGAGTCCCATTTTAACCACTTGACATTCGACAATGTTATCGGGTGTGCATACTTTAATAATCGAAATTAGTCCTTGAAGGCTCGGCTAAATGAAACAAGTCAGTTGGTGTGGACTGCCTCGAGTAATGCTGAACTCGAACGATAAATTGCTCGTATGAATAAATCTCTGTTGAATTTTGTATATTATGTTGGCTCCAAGAAATGACATCACGATGTATTTGGTCTTGCAAAAAGGACCAAGAGGTAGCCACCATCTCTGAGGGGAACTTGATCCCTTATAACCTTCCACTCAGAATCAAAAAGCATGCCATTCAAAAACAGGTAGTTTTATCATTATAGAACGGACCAGGTGATTTGAATGCATTTATAATATTACCAAGTCGAACTTGACAAGTCTACCCCCGCGAAATGTGCTGCTCTGTAGTGCTGCAGCTCCAAATCTCTTTTTAATATCTTGAATGCAATCAGGAACAAGTTACCCAGTTGTGTGAAGATTTTGCAAAATTATCCTTTATTTAAGAGAACTATTAGTTGTTTTTTGCATTCGGAAAAACGTGCACAATTTTTAAGCGCTGAATCCACAAAATTAATATTCGTATTGATGGAGTTCGTGGTCTATGATCTCCCTTCCCTATCTCATTCGGTGAGAAATGGTGCTGACTCTACAGTCTGATGGGACCCCGACGGGTCTTTAATAAAAATAATTGAATTGAATTGAATTGAAACACTACGGGCGATTCCTTCAACCAACAGCCAGCAATTGTTTTCCCATGCGTTCTGTTCGGTGCAATCCTAATTTTATGAAAAGGAATAAAGACCGAAAACATCCGATGAAGTTTTAACCACTCCTTTCTGGACTGACGTTGTTTCGTGGGTAGCGATTGTTTCTCCTGAACCATTCAAAGTATCGGAAACCCCCATCACCTATATTTACTTCATCAAGAGCATTTTCCCTGCTAGAACGATGCGTGCTTTACTTTTCTTTGACAATGCCTGTAACCTAGAGTTAAACACAATTATTATTATTATTACTACTATTAATTATACCCGGAGGAATCCTACGGCGTTCTACGCCTGCAAAACATTAAACACTGGTTATTCTGTCGGCGAACAGAATGAGTATATCTGAAAAGGACCAGCGGGCACTTGTCGCCTTCAGGGCATGACAAATTGTGGGTATTAAATGCATTTACTTACGACGTGTGACCTCACTCAGTAGTCGTCTTCTGGTCGGTGTAAGCGTGCTATTCACTCATGCGCATACTCACGAGGTTTCCCTTTCAAACGCCTACCATATGTGTTCCAAAACCGCTATTTATCGAAAATACTGTTTCTGCTTCAGACCTCGTCGATTTTGCTTGTCAGTGAATCCGGGCCACTGACGCTGATTGGTCAAGTGTACGCAGACGTGAAACGTGATACGGCCTGTGTTGCCTTTATCTTTATCTCTTCTGAACTTAAGTCTAAAATAGAGTTCACGGTTAACTTCAAGGACGGATGCCCGTTTGAAGTCTCCCACTAAAATATGCTCGTTATAACTATGTTTCAGATCTCCTACATATAGTAAACTCATATCTGTACTGGCGTTTGTCATCCGGTAACCAAGGCCCGAACTGAGAATAGTATTTGTTAGAGTATCACTACGATGTAAGCTACCTTGAAGTGAATGCCTGCATCAAAGGTCAAAATGCCGCTTTTACCAGTTTCTCACAACAGTGTAGTTTTTCGGTAAACTTTACGGATGACGACGAATAAGTGCTGAAAAACCTTTTAATAAGACTACAATGTGCCACAGAGTTCGGAGAACTGGTTTCCAAAGTGAGTAAAATTATAGCATATTCGCTCATGGATGCGGGTAGGGTTCGCCGGAGCGCATATTCTATTATGAGCGCCTAAAAAATTCTTTAGACTCAAGCGTGTTTTCTTACCTAAATAGGTCGTTGAGCCACTGATCTCATGGTAATATCAGTTCCAAATGTAAAATCATAATGTTGTGCGCCAAAGGTGGAACCTCCGCTGACTACTGGTAAGCACCTTCAGCAAATTATTAGCCTTCCAATTTTCAATGATTATAATCCCCTGTCGTGGGTCGCAAGTACCTGTATTCACTCGAGTGAGTTAAACCACCGCTGAAATTTCAAAATCTAAAATAATAAAATGTCATTGACTTTTAGATACTCCCGTGACCACATGCCCTCGGAACTGTAAAATCTACGTTCGTTCTTTACACAGCGGTGAAGTAGTTTTAGACCCGCTTGGAACACTAGTGCTTAGCTTTGATTTAATACTGTCATATATTTCGCAGGAAACTAGTACTACTTATGAAGATTGCACGGGATCAGGGTATCCTGAGTGTATTGGTCAACTTGAGACACTAAGCGTGTTGTTTGACGCGACAGTCAGAGTTGCGGCAAACTTAGTATTTCGGCATGAACCAGCTTAAACGTTTAGGAAGCGTCGGGGGCTACGGTCTTGGACTTCTAGGGGGTCTTGGCTTGACTGCTTTTGGGATTCAGCAGTCATTGTTTACGGGTTTGACTTATTGTTCACTGTTACACAGGTTTAGTCGATGGTGGTCATAGAGGTATTATGTTTAGTCGGATCGGAGGTGTGAAACCGGACATTTACCCCGAAGGTCTTCATTTTAGGTACCTCTTTATTCCGTCGTACTTATTTTATTTTACAGAATCCCCTGGTTCCAGTATCCTATCATTTATGATATCCGGTCCAGGCCGCACAAGATCACGTCGCCAACGGGGAGCAAAGGTCTGTTCATAATAGATATGCTTCCGGCTTTAAATTCTGAAGCATCCTTGCTTCGCAGAACGTAGACACTTGTTTTCAGCCAACTCATATCTTGACATACTTTCCGAAATATTACGCGCAAATCACCACCATTCTAATCAAACACGACAGCCGGTCACTTTTCGTAATGCAGTCGCACAAGCCTTTCGGAAAGGCGCTACATCACAGCCTATAAGATGGCAGAACTAAGGTGTACTGCTCTTGCCCACATTACCTCGACGTATTTTCTGTTTACTGTTACTCTTCGCGTTGTTATCGTCTCAGTTCTGGGAGAGGGAGGGATTAGCCATCGCCTGATGGCCCGGTACACGAACTTCCACGCATATTTTGCCCTCCAAATATACTGTTGCTGTTTGCTTGCGAAAGTTTGATTTAGCTTCGAGCCGGCGCCGGCAGGACTTTTGCGTGAAGATTCGCCCCGACATGACAATCCTGCGGCGAACCTGAGTTGTCATAATCTTGCAGTGTCTGCTGCGTAAACCTCAACTTGACTAAGCATGTAGTAAGGTGTAGGTGGACTATGGCAGCTAACTTGGCATTTCAGCATTTTTTAGATCCCTCACCGTCTTGCTTTTCCTGCATTCTATTCGCTCTAACGTATTCCTGTAGACGCCTTTTGTACGACTGAGCCATTTCCTTTTTAGACCTGCAGACCATTAATCTGACACTTCGGGTACTATCTCGTCCTGAGGTGTCAAAACTCCCGGAGATTTACCGAACTCTCGGCACGGATTACGATGATCGTGTCCTTCCCTCAATTGTAAACGAGGTGCTTAAGGCTGTGGTCGCCAAATTTAATGCCAGTCAACTTATCACTCAGCGTCAGCAGGTCTCTCTTCTGATCCGTAAGCAGCTGGTTGACCGTGCTCGCGACTTCCACATTGTTGTGGACGACGTCTCAATAACTGATTTGACCTTCTCCCAGGTCTACGCTGCAGCTGTCGAAGCAAAACAGGTACACTGGGGCTTTGTGTTGTTTTTTTCGTTTAGTTCTGCAACTGTCACCACCTTCCACCTCTGCCGTTTTTCCGTTTATGACTGTATTATCTTGCGCTCGTTTCCCTTCCAATCATTTTTATTAAACACAGATTGCTCAACAAGAGGCACAAAGAGCTCAGTTCTTGGTCGAACGAGCGAAACAGGAGCGCCAACAGAAAATTGTAATGGCTGATGGTGAAGCACAAGCAGCCAAACTGATCGGTGACGCCTTACAAGCAAACCCCGGCTATTTGAAGCTGAGGAAGATAAAGGCCGCCGCCCAGATTGCAAGGACTGTAAGTAGTTTTACTCGCTGCCTGTTTGTATGTCTTTGCCTTTAGTTCAGCGTGTTATTTTCCTGTCCGATACTAATGACTCAACTGCCTTTTGTGCGGTTCTACAGCTCGCGCAATCATCTAACCGCGTCTTCTTGAATGCGAACACTCTGCTCTTGAATCTGGCTGATCCTCAGTTCGATGCCAGTGCGGAAAAAGTCCTCAAAAAGAAGTAAATGTCCTCCATAACTGCTCTGCAACGCTGCTAGCTCGGTCTTACATTGTTTACGACTCCTTTCCTAGTCTGTACATTGATATTTTTATTCTTAAACAATGCCATTCGTTTTCAAGAGGTTTGCCCGGGTTTTCTCCGTAACAAGTGGGATTTCTGGGTCAGGATCACGCCTCACTTATTGCCTACGTGGTGATCTAAGTGACGGCGACTTGATGGTAGCTGATAATCCAACCAGTCTACCAGTGTTTCCGACAAGAAGTTAATTTTCAATCAAGTAATTGCGGCAAAGCTGCCACTATATTAATAAGCAACTTTTTGGAGGGACGATGCACATTTTATCCACTTATCTTCATTTGGCGCTTCAGTCATGCAGTCGAACTCCATTTACAAAGATACATTTTCATTAGATCGACTGCCACAGACTGTTTTAGTTGTTTTCTAAGCTTGCAAGACACCGGGGCGTGTTTTATGGATCCACTAAGCGTTTGCTTGCAGATTTAAAGTGCGGGGACTGGCCTGTCAGTCCGTTTGCACATCACACACGGGCTTCTCAAATATTTTCCCCATAATCTTGCTTTCCTCCTCCTTGGTCCAGTAGCTGCTCACTCTCGCTGGCGTTTGTCTGTAGCGACGCTGGTGCCAAGGCTTCCCGCCCTGCAGTGGCGGCAACAGAGGTGCCATCTCGGCGACTGACTTGAGCGTGTCGTAGGGTTGCGGTATCTTGTTTTGTGATATCGCCAACTGCATGAGTACCTTTTTGTTGCGCCTGATGTATGGTGAGAAGAAATAGCATGATTAGTGTGGTAAACTTGCTTCCTAAGTTAAAATAATATCTACTAGAAAGCGCGGGGGACGCCGAGTCCCATGCATTGACAGAATATCGACGGAGTACGTGTCTGAGCTTTTAGCTAGTACCTATGCTATCAATACGTTGGATCATGTCACGAAAGTAATATCCATGGTAGAGGGCGCTCACCGATCGCGTTGCGGGACATGCCTGTCCTGCGCTTTGGGGTTCGATCTAGAGCAACATAGACCATCGTGCAGTGATTGGTGATGTATGCTGATGGAGACTACCGACAAAAACAAGGGAGACTGGGTGGCCATTTCTGGCTCGTTGGCCATCGACAGCCAGCCTCGCCCAGCTCCAGGTTTGGGGCCATCTGGGTCTAAAGCCCGCGTTCCTTTTGGTTATTTGTCCAAGGGTTAGCCGTTAATCCGCAGGATCGTATCTGCTTTTGATGGTTCTTCAACCAACATCTTGGCGACCGGCCGTATCTGCTGTGTAGGAAATTCTGTCTCACAAGATAACAATTCGGAAATAATTTCGGATATTCCTAAATACCGCCTGTAAGACTATTTGCGGCTATCTTTGGACATCACTTCATGACTTTCTTATGTGTCGCATCACTGTGTTGGATGTAAAGTGTCTCCGCAAACCTTGAAGGTTATGTATTATGCATAAAATGCATCAGTACATCAGTAGGGTCATCGAGGGTTCCGCGCATAGCTTTTATATAAATACAACCAATGCCAACTTGCTGATTTGCCGTCAGGTCACATGATGAGTAAGACATCCACTACAGACATTCGCTACTGAAGCACATTGGTTAGGTGTAAGTGAAGGTGGACGGTAATGAATATCTGAGTACTATAGGCAGAATGGTATTACCGACAAAGACTAGGGAGGCTGGAATGGCCATTTCTGGCTTATTAGCCGTCGTTAACCAGTCATACCCAACCCCGAGGTGTGCGACACCCAAGGCTCGAATTCGCGGCTGCCGGTTGGACTCGAGAGAGAGCCCTATGGCACAACGGGACGAGTGAGTTGCGTAGAAACGATCGGTGCGCCTTCTCTACCATTATCTGAGTTCTAGACAGTTCCGTACGAGGTCCCCCGACCAAAGCGTGGTAAGCTCTTCGGCACTCGTGAAGTAGGACTAGACTGCTGCTTCATGCGTTTGAGCTATGCCACCCATTTACCTACTGCAAACGGGAAAGCCACTGAACCGGGCCTACCTACCAGAGGTCTTGTTATTGGGAAGTACTTGCAGAACTGGTCCTACTTGTACGTCTAGCTAAGTAGGCGACGCAGCTGGTGCCCTTTGAAGGAGGGCTGGCTTCGGCAGACTCGACATGGTGACCGCTAAGTCGTCCACACCTTCGCTATAAGTGATGACTAAACAACGGTGACCGACTTGCTCGAGGAAAAATATTTGGGTAGCTACAGTTCGCACTGGGTTTACTCACAAAGACTGACATGGTATCGAAATTACAGAACGGCTGCAAAGCGTGCCCGTTGACTTTCACCGATGGTGCGAAACAAGAATGGTGGCGGGCATACCATAGTCCGTACGTCCACGAGAATGGGACTCCATTTCCGTTCCGTGTTGTTCATGAAAGCCACTCCGATTCGAGTGATCGTTTTTCGCATGCTTAAATAAAGCGGACTAGTTAACTTCATGGTAGGGATATTGCAAACTTTGCTTTTCTAGGAAATGATGTCCAAATGCCCTGTGTGGATGGAGAGTTCACCATATTTACGGACGCCGTCGACGAGATCCCGCTTACCCATCTGGGTCATAGTAGGGCGCAAACCCAAGAACTTGAAATCGACCAGCATCACCCACTTTTGCGTTGGATAGATGCACCTCAGGCTTCAGGAGGCCCGCTCTCCACAGCACGTCATCAGGCGTGGTGTTTGAATTGTGGTGGACCCCACTGTTGGCTGTGCGGTAAAAGTCTTCCGGTTTCGTCAGTCACTGTCAAATCAAGGGAAGGCCTCCATACCACGTCAATAAGCAGGCAGTTTTGGCTATAGCGTGCACGGCGTAGCTTATACCGCAGCTGCCGCATGGGAAACCCTGTATGCTGACGAATGTCCACTGCCAGCGTTCAGGCAGTCAGCAATCGTCTATAAAGCAACAAAACTTGGGATGAGGACTGACTGCCAACTGGAGACTGCATGTGCTGCTCCGACTAGGGTGCCCAGGTGAACCAAAGTCTGCGGGTCTCAAATTTTAATATGTCTATAACTTTGTCCTGTTTGCGACTCCCGGGGAAACTTAACCCGCTGTTAACATCATTATCGCCTCGTAGAGTTTAGCCTTGGATTGGGTGCCGAAAAGAATAAAAGCGTTGCTTGACGGCCTTGCACCACAACCAAGGTTTCCTCTTCGTGGTGGACAACAGGCTTTAATCGGTGCTGTGATTCCTCTAACTGATGGACCAATGCCACAAAAGAAACAAGCCGTCACCTGTAAATAGCGCATTACATGTTCTTTTTGACTACTATTGTGCTTGTGCAATGTTGGGCTCAACAAAGGCCAAATATTAATATGTGGGGCATCTTCGAAGGCGGGACTCTGTGCGTTACTGACCTAGAGCAGATTGATGCGTCATTCAGGTGATGCCTAGGAGGAGACCACTCTGTAGTCCCACGGACCACGTCCCGAACGTTAACTCTACTTTCGGTCGGGGCCATCGATTGTTGATACAACAAGGGGCTCTATCCCGGATGGTTAGGTCACCTGCTCCTTTGATCCAAAACGAAGCTCGCCTACAATTTCGCCCCCCCCTTTGAATACAAAGCTGCCATGGCAGTGCACTAGAAGAGGGACGGATGTGGTTAAGTTAGATATGGAGAGGACGCTGGCTCCGCCAGTCATCAGCATTTGTAAATGGAACGCAAATTGGACAGCAAATTTTGGCGCCTGGCCGTCCGTCATAGGGCGCGCCGTGAACCTCGGGATTGGTTAAACCAGCGGTGGTTATAGCCACGTAAAGTCATCCTTCGCACCTTTGCTTTAGAGACTAAGCATAACTAGATGTCCGACAAATAACGAGAAATATTTTTAAATGCCTAGGGAGTATCCTTCAATTTAACCTCAGAAATGAATACTGAGATCACAAAGTATGGTTCTGAAAAAATAAATAGTACTCCAGGAAATAATCCGGAGTGAATGATTCAGTTGGCTGCTGTTTGAATCATTGCATGAGGAAAGAAGTCGCCTGAACACTGTTATCAAATTTTAGGGTCAGACCACACTCATGCATATTTAAACTTACACGCCCATAATTAACAGGCTGCAGGAATGCAGGTCATCGCGAAGCTGCGATCCCCCACCTCTATCAGGTCCACAAAGAAGCCCTCTAACTGATCTGTTGGGTACCTTGAGGTTGATGCTAAGCAGGCTACATAACCCGGCACTTAATTCGCGACAGAAATTTGCGCAGGTGGCACCTGTAAAGCTCCGAAACTAACCCGGTTCCTGCCTTTTTCTGAGTAAAAATCATCCGAGGCTGCCTTGCTATTGTATTATCTTATCGCCAGCCGGAAACCAACAACTGCGACCCCATCAATAGGTAACCAGCATGTCACCAAGCTTACCTGAAGAGAGCATATTATGAGCACCTGTGTTCATAGCTATTCGTCTGAGTTCGCCTGTGGAAATCTGTACAGAACGGTGATGATGAGAAACAAAAAATAAGAGAGACAGGAAAAGTCGCTTCTGCTTTGTTATCCCCTATCGGCCAACTATGCCCCAATACTAGACACGGAAAGTCCTACAGTTTGAGTTTGGATTCCATCGAGGGCTAGACTGAGCGTTCACCAGAATATCGCTCTGATATGCATAAGGAGTACTGGGAAATTAAAAGATTGAGTTTTCGTCAGGCGTGCTGCCGATGCAGACTAAGGATGCTTTACTTACTCCCTCAGTAATACTATAACACAGAATGCTGCGAATGCCGAGGTAAAACTGCGCAGTTGACTCCCGCACGGCTGGCTCGAATAAGCAGAAGGGCGCAAACATATCGACACACAATCTTCGTGCAGTCACCGACAAGACTGTTTCCAAACTGCACAGTCTGCCGGACAGTAATTCAGCTTGTTCCATAATCGAACCCTGTGCTGGCAGGACGCGGCGTCCTAAGTTGTTAAAAAGGACATCTCGAGAGAGAGCTGGAGACTCCTCCGTATTTTGCAGTAAGGTTTTCTTTTAGCTGGAGCATGTTATTATCTTCAGCGCATAAAGCGCTTCCGGCATTGGAAAACGAGCCCCAGTTACTCCAGTTTCTTGACTTGTGATGCAGGTCATAATTGACAAGTAGATCTAAATTTTACCTAAGGCTATTCCTAAACAAAATGTCTTCGTCGTAAAAGTCCGTTCAGATTTTGATAGTTCTCACTAGGTACCTATTCATACAAACATCCCGGTTGGAAGACTGTGACTGAACTTGAGAAGCATGCTGGCATGTCTGAAAATCGGCTACTGGAACTTAAAAGGCAACAGTGTTCGTATTTTCCAAGTCTATCAAGCGCCTAACTAACTTTTGATGATAGTGTTCGCTGTCATGAAATGTGAAACTCTCAACGTAAAATAGTTGAGCCTCTTGTATCAAGAAGGGCCTTTAAGAAAAACACTTTCCAGACGATCTTAATAAACTTCCGGAAGAGGAATCAGGATTACTCGGAACGCAAAAATTGTTCGACTTACGCGATCGCTGCCTCATCAAACTCAGTCTTGTATCTATGCTCCAACACGCATTTAATGGGCGTATGCGGACGTTGGGGGTGACCAAAGATCATATTTTTCGGAAAATGAGGCTTTTTGTTTCTTCCCAGGGCCTGTTTCGTCGTATCCAGCTTAAAATCCTTTTTGTCAGCAAACTCCTCCCAATCGGGAACTGGGTGTATACCAGCCTTGGCGCTTTCGATGTTTGTTCGCAAAAAATCTCGCGGAAAGTCTGAGCGTGCCCGCCTCTTCGGAATAGGCCAGCGTAAACAACGGATTAGTGCCTCCGGGTCATGCTCGCTGCGCATGCCATAGATGAAGCAATCGGGCTGTTTTGGCCTACCGCGCAAAAGTGGTTTACCCAATTGTGGTCGCTGCAATATCTCGTTCTTCAGCATGGATTTCCGGATTATACCCATCTGACCGGGGGCAATGTATTCGCATTTCTGAAAAACGTCTAAGGCCACAGATCTCTTTGGCATTGTGAACTGTCACACGCGTGAGGGGCTGCCTGTTGCTGCTAAGTTTCCGCCGTCTGACTTCTGACCTTGAAAAAATCAATAAACAGATGTGCCAAGCGGACTTCAAACCTTATTCACTTCTTGAATTGCGTACACTCGAAGGTTCCAGTGACAATGTCTCAAGGAAACTTTGCAATTTAGCAAATCTAAACTTAAGCCCCCTAAACAAACCGTTACGTACAGCTGTGCGTCCCTAAAACCGAAATCACTAGTGAGTTAGGATTTTCGAATTTCATCTACTGTCGTCAGTTTTACCCACTTCTGACTTTCTAACCGTGTTTACTTTCGGATTACAAATTGCGAGGGGCTGAGTCTTGCAGATGAAATTAATGTCCTTCTTTAGCGATACAAAACTGACCGGTTGACCTCCGTGGTTTGTTGAACAGAATCGATTAAATAGCCTTCCTTCCTCACAATAACCCTTGATGGTAGTAGACATGTTCGGTCAAATTCATTGGTACACATCAACTTCAGGTAAGCATAGGTGATGAAACCTAATTTAGGTATCGCTTCAGCCACTTAGAGAATATTTCAAAAGAACTGGCAATCTTTTAAATTCCCCGACATATTTGGATGTTTGGTCGCATTAGTCTGCATTATCGGCACAGGTTTTAATCGGTATCGATCACTGAAGTATCGTTGACTTCAAATTTTGGCAACCTTAGGTCATGTCATGACTTTTATGATTGGCTGGTCTAGATTTATGCCTTTATGTATTAGCGGGTGGAAAAAACCCCCAAGGCATATAAATGTTGTGAGCTTGTGACGCGTGCACTAGACAAGTCGAGACAGATGCTTTATTGCCCAGAGAGGAGTCGACGAAACACAAATCGAAAAATTTTGTGGTTAGGTAGTTCATGCGCAAATATGTGCATCATGCTGTACTCGATTTCGCTACACCAATTGTAAAAGTCTCAGTAGTCTGCACCCAGGCATGTACTGGGGGTATACGACAGTTCGACCGCCGTTGCCGACGATGTCCACCGTGTGCTCGACAGCAAGGTGAGAGCAGGGACAGTGACTTGTGCGTGATTTAGTTTACAGTGAATGTAGGCTTGCACAGCATTTACCG